CGGGGCGGGGCGGGGCCAGGCCGTACTGGACCAAGGCTAAGCCTCGCAGGAGCCCGGCAAGGAAGAGAGGGGGCGGGGATCTCTGGTGATGAGCCCTGAATTACGGGTCCCCGGACGCCGCTGACTTTGACAGTGTACATAAAAAGCGCCGGTGGCTCTCCTTTTGTACAGAGGTTAAAGGCGGGTCCCCGTTTCCACCTAAACCGAGTGGTCCAACTTAACACTAGCTGCCATCAGATGCCTCCTGCTGTGATGCGGTGTAGACAGCACCTCCTATGGGGAACTCTTGCCGGAAAATACTGTACCTGAGTGTAGACACGAGGAAACATCAGACAAATGTAGAAAGTGGGACATTTTATAAGGCAAGTGGCCTGGGCTCTTCAAAATTGTCAATCAGACCAGGCAGATCGTTCTGGATTAAAAGATGTTAAATACAATGTGTGCACCTTGCCTGGATTCTGGTTGAAATATTTATTTATTTATTTATTTATTTTAAAAAAGATGACCGGTAAGGGGATCTTAACCCTTGACTTGGTGTTGTCAGCACCACGCTCACCCAGTGAGCTAACCGGCCATCCCTATATAGGATCCGAACCTGTGGCCTTGGTGTTATCAGCACCACACTCTCCCGAGTGAGCCACGGGCCGGCCTGTGGTTGAAATATTTTAAAAGCAGCTATAAAAAGACATTCCAAGGACAATTGGGGAAAATTTTAACTATGGATTGGGTATTGAATATTATGAAGCTATTGCTGTTTTTCTTGGGTGTGATTATGTAGGAGAATGTCTTTTTCCTTTTTGTCTTTTTTCATGATTATGAAGCTATTGCTGTTTTTCTTGGGTGTGATTATGTAGGAGAATGTCTTTTTCCTTTTTTCACGACCGGCAATGGATTGCAACCCTCAGTGTCGCGCCCGTACCGGACCAGGACTGGCAACGGGATCGCAATCCTTGGTGTTGCTCCCGCACCTCGCTCAGCCAGTGAGCGGCCGGTCTGTATGTGGGATCCGAACCCTCGGCGGGAGGGCCGCCACGCTTCCCAAGCGGCGCACTGTAGGAGTGCGCCACCGGGCCGGCCCAGGAGAGTGTCTTCTTAGCAGACACACATACCGTATTGAGGAGTATCTGCTCGGGCTGCCATAAAATACCATAGATTTTGTGGCTTAAACAACAGAAATTAATTTTCTCACAGCTCTGGACACCTGAAGTCTGAGATCAGGGCACCACACGGTCAGGTTCTGGGAAGGGCTCTCTCTTCCTGCCTTGCAGAGGGCCCCTTTCTTGCTGCATCCTCACGTGGCCTTTCCTCAGCGCATCCTTTCAAAGAAATCAAGCTCTGTAGTGTTTCTTCTCATAAGGACACTAATCCCATCATGAGTAGTACCCTATCCTCATAAACTCATCCCTAATTACCCCCATAGACCCCATATCCAAATACCATCACATGGGGGGTTAGGCCTCAACGTATGAATTTGGGGGGGACACATTTAGTCCATAACACGGGTGAAAGGTCATCATGTCTGTACCTTACTCTCAAGTAGTTCAAAATATGTATATATTTAGAGAGAGCAGGCTAAAGTAAATGTGGCAATATGTTAACAATTGTGGAACCTGGGGGAAGGATATGTGGGTGTTTACTGAATTATTCTTTCAATTTTGGGGAGGATGCTGGCTGGAATGGGGATCTGACCTGTTGACCTTGGTGTTAGTTCAGTTGGCACCATGGTCTAACCAACTGACCTAACCAGCCAGCCCCTATTTTTCTGTTTTCAATAAAAAGTTGGGGGTGTGGAGGGGAACAGGTCCTTAGAAATCTTTTACCTGTGTTCAGATCCAAGGTTCATAACTGTGTGAGCTTGGTTACATTTCTTAAACTAAGTCTGTTTCTACATCAACAAGATGGGAAGAATGTGGTTGCTATAAAAATGAATTAAGAGAATGGCTGTAGAGCAGCTGGCATATACTGTGCTTGCTCATAAGTTCTCCTTGAATGCCAGAGCCATTGGAAGACATGTATTCTTGTTGAGTCATATGTCCCTCTTCAGATTCAACCCAGATTTATTGAGCACCTACTGTGCACCAGGCTCTGGGCTAGGTAGGGGTTTTAGCAAGCCTTGAACTTGCCATTCTCATCTGCATATTCAAATCAGGGTCATAAGCCATTCAAAGAGCCTGGCCCAGTGCTCAGGTTGTTTAATGGCAAGAGTTGAGATCTGAACCCAGGGCTTTCAATTCCAAGTCCAGTGATTCCAAGGTAAAGTGATAGATTCCAGGTGAAATATATATGTATAATGTTTCTGTAAGGCTTAAAGAAAATGATGTTAATTAACCTGATTGGATCATCATACATTGTACACATGTACAATTATGTGTCAAAAAATCTATATTCTTTTTGATGTTTTGTCTGATTGATTTATCATTTACTGAAAGAGATGGATTATTTTTCCTGCTGTCATGTAAAAATTGTCAACTTTTTCTTGTAGTCCAGGTGGTTTGTGTTTTATATATTTTAAAGTCATTAGGTGCGCTTAAATTTAGATCTCTTATGTATAACTGGGAAATTGAACATTTTCTTAATAAATAAAAAATTTAAAAGAAAAAAATAAAGTCTGGCTAGTTAGCTCAGTTGGGTAGAGCCAGGTGTTGTAACACCAAGGTCAAGGGTTTGGATCCCCATACTGGCCAGCCACAAATAAAGAAAAGAAAAAAATAAAGATGATAGAGGTGGGAGCACTGCAGGAACTGGGGAAATCTGTGAAGATGTGGAGTCCTGAAGGGCCCTGGCCCAGGAGTAGGTCTCTAAGTTCTCTCTGCCTTCGACTTCTACATGTTGTGGCTTTTAGGGCCTCCTTTACTGCTACCCTTGTGCCCATAGAAGCATGTTCACTTCCAGTTTACAGCTGGGGAAATTGAAGAGTTTTGGAAAATGACTCACTGTATGAGTTCGTTTCTGTTGCTAATAACAGAATACCTGAAGCTGGGTAATGTATGAAGTAAACAAAATTTGTTTCTCAGAGTTTTGGAGGCTGGAAAGTCCAAGGTCCAGGGAACACATCTGGTGAGGGTCTTCTTCTGGGTGGTGACTCTCCAGCAATGTAGGATCACACGGTGAGAAAACGGCGCGAGCAAGAGCGCTAACCTTCTCACTTGCTCTCCTTATAAAGCCATCAGAATCACGCCCATGACAACCCAGTAAACCATCAATGGATGAATCATTCACAAGGGCACAGTCTTCATGATCCAATCGCCTCTCAAAAGCCCCACCTTCCACCACCATACTGGAAGTTAAGCTCTTTTCTTTTTGGTAGCTGACCAGTACAGGGGTTAAGTTCTAATATGAGCCTGGGGGGACATTCAAAACCACAGCACTCACCTTCCAAGAGTCCTGGCATCTTTGCTGCTGTGTCTGCTTCTGTGACAATCCCTGTGGGGCCTCAGTTTCTTCACAAGTAACATGTCTACTTCAAGGGTCAAGGGAGATGACCACACATCAAGCTTTCTCTAGGCAACTGGCTTTCCTGCTTGGAAGGTCTGGGTCTCCCAAACCCTAACCTGGGAGGCCAACTATAAACCTTGTTTTTCATGCTGCCTGGGGAACCCTTGAAATGGAGTTTATACACTTCTGGAGAGGCTGCTACTGGAACTCTAGAAACATTTGATGTGTGCATCAAGACACTATCAACAGAATGAAAAGACAACCCACAGAATGGGATAAAATATTTGTAAATC